CCCATTTGTCCGCAGGCACGAACTCTATCAACTCGTTATCTATATGCATGAAATGATGATGCAACACTTAGTAATATGGCAACAGCAACTCTTAAAATACGAATACACCTATCAAGCTACTAAGCTAGTTCTACCGGCTAAGGTGCTAAGTTACCTATTGTTACCACCAACAAGTATGAAACATGGCACGTACTATCTTAGCAACTAAAGGCATTCTTACCCTTAATACCGATTTACTATATGTATACTAAAACAAGGAGTACTAGCTACTCTATTTATAAACCTACTCAAGGGCTACAAAAATTACCATGAGCACATAATAATATAATGAATCTACCGTAAAAATTTCATGGCCAAAGCTATCACCAATTTGTCACAAAAATTCCTACAAATATTAATCTAAATAATACTAAACTCTCCTAAATGAATTAATGAATCTATCATTATCATAGATAACTATAAACTAACTACACCAACAGCTAGATAGCATTTTTGTAAACCTAACAAATTTTGTTTCACTATTTTTGAACATCTACATAATTTACTATAATTTTTCAAAGTTTAGCTCAAAACGAAATTGAATAAATCTTTACTAATTCACTAGAAAATGAAAAACAAAAATCCACCGAGCGGCCCGTGAGCGAGCGGCGTGGCCCACTCCCGTGCATCGCGCGTGCGAACGCGCAGCACACTAGCGCGGCCCACGCGGCTCGGCCCACGCGCGATAGTGGCCCACGGAGGGGAGACCCCCGCGTGCGCCGACACTTATGCAAAAGAGCCCTTGACTTTCAACCAAATGAACCCGCAGTCCTTTCTACTATTTCCCTCTCTCTCTCTGACGCTCTCACTAACCCCCCCGACTTACTTTGAATTCCCGTTCCAAAATCCATGGTCGGAACTTATTAGAGGCCGTGGCATCTCCGCCCAAACGCTGACGAGCACGGACCTCCTCAGCAGCAAACATCACCACCGTGGCACTCTTCATCACAAGCGCAGTCGATAGAGGTATAAAACACCACGATTGGTGCCGCATAGAGGCGTGGCCATGCACCACGGCGGGGTTTGGCCATGGTGACACTGACGCCGGTGAAAACGTTTAGCCCAGCGCTACCATCACTACCTAGACTCCATGCCTAGAGTACCGATAACATTCTAGAGGTCCTAGATATACCCGTTCTACTCCCAAACGAGCTAGCCACGGACACAGCATCTACACCGCGTTCGCCGGTGGCGGCCACTCACTCCGGCGAGCCTCGGCCCTAACCGATTCAACCATCTACCCTAAGAGCAGGAGGGCCTCACTAGAGACGTGTAGGATGGCCTGGCCAAGTCATGAGGCTTGGCAAGGTGGTTGGCCATGTGCGCGGGGTTGCTCTGGTTCACAGCAAGCGCGGCGACAGCGTTCTCGACGACTCGCTACACCCGTGGTGAAACTGTTTCACAGGAGAGGCAACCAAGTCAAGGAGACGCAAAAGCACCGCTCAATTGAGACAAAGGACAAGGAACGACGCCCTGGCCGAGCACCCACCCCGATGGCCATGGTAGACCGCCACGAGGGAAATGCTCCGTAGTACCTCACTAGAGGATGAAAGTTCATCGGGTCAACTCCAATCGTGAGCTAACCACCAGAGCTAGTTGGGTGCACGGTTAATTGGACGGAGGTGGACGGTGCGAGGCCAATTAGGTGGACGACGCCGTTCGGTCTTAAGGGGGTCGATGGCGGGGGAAACCTCAAATTGAAGCCCAACACCGTACGGTTGCAGCAGTGGCAGGCTTGGCGTGAAGCTAGGCTCCAATTCAAGCTCCAGGCGTGTGCAATTACATGGATGGGGCCAGGCTCTGTGGGTTGGCCTTGGCGCGGCTCGGCCTACCGGTACGACGCCATTCAAGGCGACTGTGATGGGGAGCGTAGCGTGGCACAACCACTAAATGGAAGAGGACAACGGTGTGACGAATGATGGCTCCACGTGTGCGTACGAGGCCAGCACGACGATGTGCGACCGTAGCGCCTTGACTCGCAAGACGACGGTGGCCAGGCCACGTGACAGCCCAGCGAGCGCGCGCAGCAGCGGCAGCGACGATGCGACGCAAGCTGCAGAGACCCGACAGAGGGACACCGTGCCGCCTCGGTGGGATGCGGCCGATGGTGGACAGACGCACATGGGGACGACGGCAACACCCCACCGGGACGACGACAACGACTGGGTGGGGCCACGGTGTAAGCGGGAGAAGGAGACAGCAGCGCGGCGGCGGCGGCCGAGGAGGGGCAGCAGCCAGAGGCAGGCACCACGGCCAGCCCAGACAGGCCGTAGCCCAGCCAGGGCGGCCTCAGCCGGCCAGCGCAGGCAAGGCCGGCACGGCGATGCCGAAACCGCGCGTGGTGACCGAACCCACCGAGAACATGCTGAGCGCGAATTTTAAAGCCTCTAATCCTACCACAAGGTTGTCTCTCGACCTAAACCCACTTCACGATGATCAAGAGGACACATGGGGCTACTAAACCAAGCTAAAACATCATACCACTGCTTAACCCAATTTCCCTACAAAAATTGCCAAACTCGGCTTTGTCACACTGCTTCCCGACTTAGGAAATTCGACTAAGTCTCGATCGGATTCGCGTCGAATTCGATTTCCAAGCTATTCGGAACGCTAGCTAGTGGATTCCTTTCGCGACCTCAAGTATTTCATCGTCACCTACACGGTTTGTACTTCTAACTTTACTAAAATTCCGTATATACGTTCTATAGCATTTTTGCTTAATAAAAATTTGTTTAAAACCCTAAGTGACATAACGCGACATTGAATGTAACTTCCGTTTCGCGTTTCCGATGAACGTTTCGGGTCAAAGAATTTGATTTACACACTATATTACATACACTATCACATAAACATGATGCTATGTAGTGTTTTAGCAAATGATTGTACAGGGTAACACCGAGGGGGTTACACTCCTCTCTTCCCTATGCGGCGCCGACCAGCAGGCATCTAGCGAGGAGAAGGCATGAATAGGGTCACGGCAGGCGTGCACCGCGAAGCGCCGCTGCATTCCGCCATCGACTGCCGCTGGGGCGCCTTCGCTGGTCGTTGTCGGTGGCATGACCACCTTGCTGCCTTCTAGGTGATCATCCGTTTGGATGGGGCTGGGTGTGGGCTCGTGGCTTGGGCTGGATGTGGTGGCCAAGCTATGTGGGCTGCTGTGCTCTTGTTTCTTCAAGACTTCAGCCCATGCACTACAAGAAAAAGTGGTATTAACGATGGGATATGTGGTCGTTAAAAGTCTTAATGTGGTCGCTAGAAGTTATTAATGACCACAAAATTGCGGTCGTCCATGGTTGTTAAAAGCTCTGTCGTTAATACAATTAACGACCACATAATATTTCTTGTCGTTAACTTTTCAATGACCGAACAATATGTGGTCGTTCATAAACGACCACATTTCTAATAATAACAACCACATTTTTCATCGTCAATATTTTTTACACCATCTATCATGAGGCACTAACGACCACGACCACATGTTTTGTGATCAATACTATTTTAGACCATTTTATATTGATACTTTTTCACATTGGCTACTTATTTATAACACCAGCCACCACTTGACACCATATACAATGACATATTTTTCACTGCAGGGAAAATACAATTAATAAACTTGCAACAGCAAGAAATTAATATTTATCAAATTTGTCAATACATACCTTTGGAAAAAATAGAAAAAACAGCTAACCATGAAACAAACAGTGCCTAACTTAAGGACCGTTTCCTATATTACAAAGAATTAGCAGCAATAAGCTATGCTTCAAGCTGAACACCACCAGTACTACTATAACTAAAATACTAATCTTCAAGTGGAGGCACTCTGCAACATTTTTCTCCAAAAGCTTGGGGCTCATGAAGATCTGGTCATCTGAGCGCCCACGGCCAGTCATGCATCCATCTGTTGCACGGCCGCCGCCGGCCTTGTCGCCACGTAGCACGGAGCCGCGGATGGAAAACCTCGTTAGCAGCACATGGAGGCCGAGCCGCGGAGGGCCCTGGTTCCGGCCCCATCGGAAGCTGGGCACGCATCAACGCGGATGCCCTCACCGGGGTCTTCCCCTGTTATGCCGCATCAGTAGTGGATGGAGATGCCGTTGGGAGAGGACTAGAGGAGGTGTGCGGCGGCGACGAGTTTCCTGGGGGTAGCAGTCTAGCAGATGCAGCGGTTCTTAGGGATGGGCATGGCGTGAAAGGTGGGTGTAGGAAATGGCCAGGTGGGTGCTGAGTGGTCCCAGAGCAGAGTGGACGAGGGACGAACCAAAGGCATAGCGACCACAGAGGGACCAGGATGACGACCAGGCATTTCTTGGTCGTCGGAGACTTCGGGTAAAACTGGAACGGATGACAGATGGAACCCGACAACCACATGTTGTCTGTGGTGGTTAAATTCTGGTCGTTGACGTGAGGATTTGTTGTAGTGACGTGCAGACTGCTCCATAGGATCCAGGTGGTTAATTATACGTGTGCAATTATTGCGTTCAGACGGTGTCCACCTTTCATTGAGGAGGCCGCGAAAATAAAGAGTCCATATCTATTTTGGGCCGAGAATAATAAAATGAACCAAGATGTAAAAGGCTTTTTTTTAGTTGTTAGGTACGAGTCGAGTCAAGTTATGGTTATGAGATAGTTTGGTTGTAGCTCGAGGACGAGTTGCTTGTCCAGCGGGGTGGTGTTAGAGGCGTATGCTGTAATGTGGTGCAAGAGATTCACTCATAGAGCAAAAAAGGCAAGCAGGAATAATTAGAAGGAAAATCCTTCCCTCTTGCTCGGCCGTGGGCAAGGCCGCCCGGCCGGCCCCCCAGCCGGCCCCCTATCTCCCTCTCAACCTGAGCCGCCGCCATAACAAGCTGCCAAAGGTGCCACCACCGCCGCCATCGGATCCCATCGGCAAGGCGCTGGTTGACCTCGCCCAGCACCTAGGCCCTGGAATCCTGACCACCGTGGCGACCACCACCACCATGCTGCCGGTGTTCCCCTGCGGCCGGTCGGGCTATGGGACATTCATTGTCTCCATGTCAGAATCGAAGATGAAGGAGATTGCACAGGAGCAGTTGAGTAAGAAGAGTGCCCGCTAGGTGTCGGCGGCGGTGCGACTGTAGGTTGTTTCTCACTGCCTCGTAGCGTGTCGGCGGGTGTGGGAGATGCGCGATCTGTAGCTGATTCAGCCCTAGACCCTTTCACAGCTCCTCCAAGTTGTGCATCATTGCGCGGAGGACCTTGTTCTCGTCTGCCGCATCGGGGATCTGGGGCATGCGGTTCCCCCCGTGGACAGGCGGAGCTCCATTTTCCTCGGCAAGATGCATGGCTGGGACGTGGCTCGTGGTTTGGGCTGGATGTGGTGGCCAAGCTGCGTGGGCTGTTGTGTTCTTGTTTCTTCAAGATGTCAGCCCATGTGCGGGCTACTCCATGGGATCCAGGTGGTTGTGCATGTGCAATTACTGCATTCAGACGGTGTCTACCTTCCTTTGAGGAGGCCGCGAAATAAAGAGTCCAAATATACTTCAGGTCGAGAATTATAAAATAGGCCAAGATGTAAAAGGCTTGTTTTACGTGTTAGGTTTGTGTCGAGTCGAGTTATTGTTATGAGCTGGTTAGGTCGCAGCTCGAGGAGAAGCTGCTTGTCCAGGAGGGGTGTAGTGTTATAGGCGTATGTTGTCATGCGGGGCAAGAGATTCACCCGTAGAGTAAAGAAGGCAAGCACAGTAAAATCAGGAAAGTGGCTAGGTTGGCACCAAAATGAGGACAATCCTAGGCGCACCATTAGCAGGTGCAAATTTAGAAGCTTAGCAAGAGTGATTGAGAGAGAATTAAGGGGTGATTGGGCTGCCTAACGGCTATTTATACCGTTAGCTACCATGAGAATAAGCATGCAGGAATTAGAAGGAAAATCCTTCTCTCTTGCCCGGCCGGCCCCCTCTCTCCCACTCAACCCTAGCCGGCACCATAACACCTCAAATGATACCTGTGTATTTCCATGTTAAAAAGAAGCTGTTCATACAACCATTGCATATGTGCAGACTTAAAGGGTTGGTAGCTTAATCCGGCAAAAAAAAGATGCCGTACTGTGGCTAGAATGACAAAACAAACTGAGCCATTAAGTAAAATATACTAACATCTTGCACACACTCCTCTAAGTGCTGCAAGCATCCTGCTTCACCTATTCTCCACTGCAAGGCTTCTTCTCTGATGTTTTATATCTAACTGTGATTGTGCCACATTTTGTTTGACAAACTATTATGTTCTTTATCTCTTTTCAAGTGCGCTAAATCGTCATTGTATCAATATGGTTGGTGGGTAGTTCTGAAAGAACTGATTTCACCACCAAATAACTTCGAGTTGGTATTAATTTTTGTTTCAAGCCAACAATCTTACCTCTGTATGTGTCCTGTGTCCATGAACATTTGAATGCCTAAGTATGCAACGTGAACCAGTGTAAATGAAAAGTTTTATATTATGCTAAAGTAAATATAGTGATCATTTTGTGTTTGTACAATAATCTATCTTGGATATCACTATGACTTTCGGTATTACTATGTTTTCAGGGCCATTAAGTCCCTTACGCTACAATGATGATGCCAAAGTTGATACTGACACAATGCAGCAAACTGAAAGTTGTTTCCTCTAACTAAAGTCCTTTGGGTCATTATTCATTAATTTATTATTATGATTTCAGTTGTCATCCAATCCACAAATGCTTATGCATGTTGTGGAATTCTCAAATAGGATGATATAAATTTCAACACTAGTAGAATGGAGAAAACTAAAAAAGAATGGTAAACAAACTGTCATGCCAAAATACGCCATTTTTCTCTAAGCAGAAACTCTGAGTCATAATATATTATGATTATGATTTATGTTATCTATTTGATGATGCATATGCATGTTGTGAAATTGCCAGTGGGCTCAATTCAATAAGTTTTGTACATTTGTAGGTACCAGCAGAGACTAAGTCAGCATATGAGCAAGTGGAAGATCCTATGTTCATTGAACCACCTGCTAGTGAAGCTGTATTGCCACTTAATGCAGCTAGAAGGACTGGCCCAAGGCGACCCTCCTATTATGGATGGGGCGGATGGCTTAGTGAGTCAGAAGATGAGGAAGAGGAACAACCTACTGGTCAAAAACATGAGGTGCATGTTCTAAGTCCAGGAGAGCGAGCCCAGTATATAGATGGTATGTGCACCCTATTACTATGCTATTGTGTTGAGTTGTTACTTAAACCAAATTTCTATGAATAGTCAACATCTTGAATTTTATTGCCATTGTGACTTTGTGTCACCACTGAAGACCAAACTGCGGAGATGGCGCCGGAAAATACTGAAGACGCTGTTGCTGAAGAAGGGGAGCCAATGACTGAAGAAACTGAACATGGGAACATTCAGGCGGGAAGGCGTGCTGGACCTCCAAGACAGAAGAAGGCGAACGTTAGACTAGCTGGGCCGGAGTGGGCTAAGTAGAGAGGGACCCTGCGCGGCCCAGAACGGAAGGCAGTCCAGGTCATGTACCGTTGAGCGAGAGGAAGAGAACTCGAACATGATCACTGGATCAGACCGTGCTTGAGGGCGACGGTGGTGGCGGACACGGCGGTAGCCGGCATTCGAGATCGTGTATCCACCAAATACTACCGAATCATCTATAGAGAGTCCTCTATGGTTACACTTTGATCCGAAGATGCTCACTATGGCTTATGATCTCATTAGTTATATATTAACTACCGAATCATCGTTATCTTTCATCAGTTTTGAATATAACATGCTCCTTGCTATCGATTTGGATTGCCGTTGGACACACCCTTATTGCTAAATGTTGATCGATCCCTATGCCATATCAGAGGATCGCCATCTATTCTATGTTAATCGAAAATCGTTTTGCTTGTTCTAATCAGTAATCCTTGTTTCTGATTTTGACAGGGTAGCTGATACCAACCTGGCAAGGTCCATGATGCTCCACTAAGACGCAGAAGTCCATTGCTGTGTTTTTGGTGTCGCGGAAACCAAAAACCGATTTTCAGAAGCCTTTTAGACAAGGCTACCAGTCTAGCAGAAGTATCTATCAATATAGAACGTGTGCTTGATGAGTGTTAAGTAATAATATAGAACGTGTGTAAGTAGAGCATGTTCCGCTAGTTTAAATAAGAGCCAACTTTGATTGAAGCAGTCTGCAGTGACATAATTTTAGAAGCTGAGAATAAGAGCTTAACTTTGATTGAAGTAGTGACACAATTTTCGAAGGTGAGATGATGTTTAATCCAATAATCTAGGCGTTGAAATGCTTACGCATTCGCGGAAAAGGTGTTCATAGGAGAACGATTACAGTGCTGGTGACGTTGTCTCTGAATGCATTCGTTTTCTGTCAGTGCAAAAAGATAAAAAAATTCCGTTGCCAGGACACGAACACAGGTCTCTCGGATGAGAGCCTGAGTGTATCCTAACTCGGCTAGACTACAACGGATTGCACTAGAACTCATGTAATCCCTTATCTCAAACAAGAATATTAAAATCGATGGGACACCACGCTCCGTACCCATGCTTCCTGAGCAAATAGAACCTCAGCGAGGTGATGTAGAGATTGTCAGAGCCTCCATCGTCATCTTAGGCCCTGAACGCTGCTGGGCCCCTCCCAGTATTTTTTTAGAAAAGGGAATATATTAATATCCCAGCCTCTGTATCGACTAATGCATATGACTGTTCATTATTATAAACGAGCAAAAAAAATTTCAAGGAATCTCAAACACAAAGTTTTGAACCATGAATACAACAGAATTCTCAAAAGAAAAGACTAAAGAGCAATTCTGTTGCTAAAACGCTAGCCGTGTCTAGCAAACACCTCCATCGCGGCCGTCTCAATAATCCTACAGCCCGCCTTCATGAAATGGCGATCCTTCTCCTTCTGAAGTAATATCCAGTACTTGGTCCAATACATTCCCTTGAAGATAACCTACAAATAAGACGCTGCTATGACCTTGTCAAACACAACATCATTTCGAGTTAACCAAAGAGCCCAGCAAATGGCACTTGCACCCACAAGAATTTGAGACTTCCTTTTCCTATTTAACCCTTCCAACCAACCTATAAACAAATTGTGTACACTAGTTGGGGGTTTCAGGTTAAAGGAAATAAGAACAATTCTCCACATAAATTTAGCATAATGATAGTCAAAGAGTAAATATTGTATGGTCTCATTAGTGGAACAGAAACAACACTTCCTATCTCCTTGCCACTGTCGCCTAGCTAAATTATCCTTGGTCAAGATTACGCCTTTGTATAAATACCACATAAAGACTTTAATCTTGAGAGGTAGTTTAAGTTTCCAAATTAAAGTGTTGTAAGGTAAAGCCTGTACACCTAATAATGCTCTGTACATGGAATTAACTGAAAACAACCCTTTCTGATGCAGCCTCCACACAAAGCAATCTCTTTGGTTTGTTAAGTGTACATCTGCAACCATGGCCACTACATTGTGCCATGCTTGCAAATTAACGCCCATCAGAGATCTCCTGAAAGCTACATTTAACGGCGTCGTAGACAGTACCGTCCTAACAAATGCACTTTTCTTTCTCACAATGTTATATAGTGACGGGAAGAGCGTCTTGAAAGGGTGTGGCGTTAATCCTCCCAAAAACACACTTGGGATCCATCACCTAGATCAAACCTACCCATCGGCAGGAACTCACCCTTGACCTTCATAAGGTCAGCCCAAAACTGAGAGTCCCCGGGCATGTATTGAACCTGAGTCAAAGTCTTGTCCCTTAAATACTTATTTTTAAGCAACTTTTGCCAAACACCATCACCATTTATCAGTTTGAAAAGCCACTTGCTTAAGAGGCACTTATTATGGACACCTAGATTTAGGACACCCAATCCTCCTTGGTCTTTTGGTGTACATACTACTTCCCATTTTGTCAATCTATATTTCTTCTTATGTTCATCGCTTTGCCAAAAGAACCGAGATCTAAAATAATCCAATTTTTTTAAAATTCCTCTAGGTATTTCAAAAAAGGACATCATGAACATAGGAAGGCTACTCAGAACCGAGTTAATGAGGACAAGCCTTCCACCCACCGAAAGCATCTTACTCCTTCAACCACTCAGTCTTTTTTGAAATCTTTCTTCCACATGTTTCCTGTCCTTATTCATTAGTTTTCGATGATGCATAGGAATTCCTAGATATCTAAAAGGGAATGATCCTACATTACACCCGAAAATTTATGTATAGTCCAATTGATTAGCATTAGCAGCTCCATAACAAAATAATTCGCTCTTATGGAAATTGATTTTTAGTCCCGATAATTGCTCAAAGGCACAAAGCAAGAGCTTCATGTTTTTGGCCCTCCCTAAATCATTGTCCATAAAGATAACAGTGTCATCCGCATACTGAAGGACTTAGAGTCCGTCATCGACCAAATGCGGAACCACTCCATGGATTTGTTCGGCCTCTTTTGCTCGTGAAATGAGTATAGCCAGCATGTCAACCACTATGTTAAACAAGATTGGAGATAACGGGTCCCCTTGCCACACTCCTTTTCTTGTTTGGAAATAATGGCCTAAATTATCATTGACCTTTATTGCAACATTCCCTCTAGACATGACTTTTGAAATCCATTCACACCAAACCGGTGAGAATCCTTTCATTCTGAGGACTTGTATAAAAGGCCACTTAAGATTATCATACGCATTTTCGAAATCCAGCTTTAGGATCACTCCATCTTTCTTTTTCCTATGCAACTCGTGTATTGTTTCATGTAGTATTACAACACCTTCCATTATATATCTTCCCGGAATAAAAGCCGTCTGAGATGGACCTATCAATTTATCTGCCACTTTCAAAATTCTATTATTTAACACCTTCGTAAAAACCTTGAACGACACGTTTAAGAGACAAATAGATCTGTTGTATCCTAGTCGCATCCGTGATCTTGGGTAATAGTGTAATTACCCCAAAATTTAAACTATGAATATGCAGTCTCCCCATATAAAATTCATAAAAGAGACTCATCAAATCTTGCTCGACAACATCCCAAAAGAATTGATAAAATTCTGCAGGAAAGCCACCCGGACCTGGTGCCTTATTATGTTCCATATCAAAGATTGCCATTTTGACCTTTTCCTCACTGAATGGAGCCACCAATACTTCATTCACCTCCTCCGACACTTGAGGTATATCATGCCTCAGAGTCTCGTCCAATGAGAAAGAATTCTGTAAACGAGGTCCAAACAATCTTTTGCAGTAATCGGTTATATAATCTTTCAAATTCGCGGGCCCCTCCCAGTGTACGTATTCAGTACTAGTATTAGGAAGGAATATTAAGAATTTTATTAGTTTATACCTAGCCCATAGTCCAAAGATCAAGAAGGCAATGGCAACACTTGAGAAGGCTAATAGGCTTAGAGCCCAGCCCATGTGTTCTACAAATCTACGATGCCCAGCGACGGGACAGGTTCACGGGACGAAGCTTTGACTTGAATAGGCGGCGATTACGCGTGCGCACAGGTTCTTTCCGAGCTTCGACGAGACAACGATTCCGCAGACCGCAGTTCGCCAGACGCCAGGCCGGAGGACGCCGTTGCCGGCCGGCTGCCCAGCTCGCCTCTCCCGCTTGACTCTTCTGCCGCCTACTGAATCAGTAGGTTATCTTTGCTTCCTTTTAATCTCTCAATTGAGAATCAAATTTATCTGTTAGAAACTTAGAGTACACTGATCATCTTAGATGAGATTGATACTGATGCCATCATCAACGACTTCGCACAAAAAATGTTAGAGGAAACTTTTAAAGTAAATTTAATATGTATAATTTGTTTGTATGAATATTGCTTTTAAATACATGTTGAGTGTCAAGAAAAATTTAAATATACATATTGATTATTTTTAACGTGTTTATTTATAAAGGGCCCTGGGTTTTGGTTCGGCTCCAGGTCCAAAATAACTCAGGATCGGCACTGTCCTTCGGTATAAACAACTACTGCTTCTAAGAACCCTGAAGCTAGATATGGCTCTTCTCAGTGTTGATTTCTTGTTGTCTCTTACCTAAAGGCTGTTTTTCTTCCCTTTTGATTCTGAGGTTCCTAGCACAGTACTGGATAGAAATGTTGTCTAGAATCCGAGAAAATACCACTTACTAATGCTTTCATGCATAACTTTGCAGTGCCACCAGCAACTCGATGAACACGCCTGGAGAGCAGAGGGCAGAACTTGCGGCTGGGCGCGCCCATGGCGGGGCGCGGGGTGGAGGGGCGCGGCCCCGGCGGCTAAGGGGTGTGGCCCCGGCAGGCAGCCACGGTAGGGCCCGGCCTGCTGAGGGGCCACTAGTACAGAAATAATTTTTAGAGGCGGTTAAAATTGGTTTTCAGAGGGGTTTGAAAAACCGCTATAATGCCACCGATTGTAAAAATAAGTGATTTTCAGAGGCGGTTTTCTAAAAATCGATATTCAGAGGCGATTCTCTGAAAGCAACCGCAAC